TTTACACGACGATATCTCGGGAACCGGAAGTCGTATCGAGATAAATAAAAAAGCGTTTTAAAGAGGAAGATTCCGCGCTTCTAATGATCGTTCACTCGTTGACCGGAAGTCATTATCTTCGGAATTAGAGCGATTCAAATTTTTCGTAATTTTAATAGGATTTAAGCGAGGTTTAAAATAAATTATCGTGGTATATATATTTATTTCTGAAAAAGGATTGTTTATAATGATCTTACTAATAATATGGCGTGAGTTTTAAATTGATTTAAAAATTATCTTGAATTCTTCGCTTGAAGTTAGCTTTTTATGTAATCGATCTTGTTTATTAAGTTTAATTAATTCGATTTTATGGATTTTATAGAAAATTCATAGTTTTTTTTGTAGTATTTGTACGAAGTAAAATTGTGATGTGAAATTTAACAATCAATTACTTGATTTATTTTACATTCGTAAACGCGTGTACATATTTCCTTTAATTTTATTTTTCATTTATCGATATCCTATCGTGTTCAAATACCAAATACTTTATTTCCAAATAATTATACTAAAATTATAGGTTAAAAAAAAAATTATTATTTTTCAAGCAAACAAAAGATTACCCTGAAAAAGGTCATGGTACTTCCGCTATCCAGGGTGCCATAAGCGATGTCTGTTTGACTGGCGAGATCCTCCGCATTTTCGATAGGAGTTATCATCCTTTCCACGGTAAGAAACGCCGCCAGGTTGGCCGTGTACGAGGATATGATGATCAAGGTGAAAAACCACCATATGCCGCCCACGATTCGCGTGCTCGTTGCCTGAACAAATTTACCAAAATTTAATATCCTTGCACCATTGACTTCATTCTCCATCGATTTCGTGTTCTTTTGTTCCCAAATTTTATCAGGAAATCGTGGTTAAGAAGTTAGGATACCGCAAAATATTTCATCGTCTCGAATTTTATGAACATTCGAAATAAACTTTGACACGCTTTAACGATAAAAATTTTACACTTCCGCGTAGATTATACTCGAAATATAATGGAGTCAACTCCGTATCGCACAACTTCATCGATAAACTCGAGACACTGAACTTTCCTCTCGAGATTCCATTATCTCTCTAGTACAATTCAATTTCTATAAGACCGCCAATTGAAGACTAGAGACTAGTTGAATTCACTCTGCTTAATGAAACGATTCAATCGCCATCGTTCCACGTCACCGCCAATCGAACAATATTACTTCTTCGACTTGGTTAGAACGGACAGCTTAGAGATCGTAATCAAATAGAATAGTGACGTTTCCAGGACGTTTTCAGAAGAGAATGCTAATTTTTAAAAATAAAATAATAAAATTATTTATTAGAATTCTATCGATAAAATGTATAATGTAATAATGATTTTTCTTTTACTAATTCAAAAAAATTTTTGGAAATATTTACTTATGTCATGATTGCAATAAGTGAAACAATAATTCTTTTTTCAGAATCTTGTATATTATTAATCCAAACTAAAGGAAAGAAAAAAAATATTACAAATGAAATATCAACACAAAATTAGACTTTAATAAATTAATATTTATAATACAATTTTATTACAAACGTAATCGTCTACGAGATTTCTTTACGATTTTTTAAACAAATGAAATTGCAAATTCAAACTTGAAACGATGCAGAATAGTTATCTTCAACATTACGTGTGACATTTCAGCTTCAGAAAATTGAAGCCCTTTTTATCTCTGAACGTATCTATTTGCTAAAATTCGTGGAACATGAAACGTGTATTCGCGAGCTTTCTTGGCATAAATAAACGCGACGGTTCATAATGAATTTGAGACAATAAGCTTTGATGCAGACGAACGATGCTACGTTGCGGTTTTGTCTAGGAGACACTGTAAGCACGATCCAGTGTCTTTGTATTCCCAGTAGTAGGATCACGTGCACTCTCGTATGCGTTGTATTAGAGTTAGAAATATTAATCTGCCGAATTGCATGGCATCGCGTTGCTCATCTGCGTTACATTCTCTTCAGCGGAAAGTGCAATCTCATGAGTATTCTACCGTTAGAAATATAACGAAATACGTATTGAAACTTGTATCGAATTGCACAGTATCTTTTCGTTGAAAAATTGCAACGATATTGCATTCTTTTTTTTTTTTGATTGATAAATAAAATTAATGTAATGTAATGTAATGTATAAATATACAGTGGTCGTTTTACATGATCAATAACTCGATATTTTGAATTTCAATTTTTAATTCTTATAGATATTATTGATCAGGTATTCGCGCATCTGATTATTTGTCAACTCGTGTATTTGCTTGATTGTTGACTGTTTAACTGTATCCAATGATCAACATGTTTGATAGCTAATGATTAATCCATTGATTAACTAATTATGTGTAACCAATATTTTAAGCAGAGAATTGGATGGAGGAATTTATATAAAAAAAATATAGTTTTCTATTCATACGAATATTATGAATGAATATATTTGATCTTCAAATTTAACTTTTTCAAAAAAAAAGAAAATTCGAAATCTTTAATGCATAATTTTATTGTTCTTGATTTTCATCTTTTTGCAATTTTAGCTCATAGTTATAGAATTAATGATTCTCAGAAAATTGAAATCACACGTTTGCTTAGTATATTATAAAGTTTTATTCCACTATGTTAACATCATTTGCAGAAACCAGTAAGAAAATTTCTTGGCACGAACGAACATGATTCGCGGTAAATTCGATACGATAAGATTTTTATTTCGCGCGACAGACATTGATCGAGACGAGAAACCCATCAGATATTCTATCTGTGTTTCTCAGTCATCGATTCAATACAAATACATTGATTATTTTTGTTTCCAGATAAAATAAATTAAAATAGATTTTCTATTTTACGATATTACTCCTGTCCATGTTTTTTCAATATATTATAATATGCATATCGAGAGAAGGAGTTTCAATCGAGTTTAATAATTTTTGTTTGAATTAAATACAATTTCGTTGCAATCTTTGATATATATTTGTTTCAATAATATGAATTGAATGATTAGATGTAAGTATTTCGTGTTCAACTTCCCTCCCTATTTTATTTTTTCAAATAAAAAAATTCCATTTTTTCAATAGTCCAAGATTCATTTAAGATTTCCAAATTTAATTTAAATTTCTTCTAGCGGATTATTTCGATATTTTCTAAAAATTTGTAATTCGTTGCATTTCATTTATTATTCTCTAATTACTCCATCGTTCATTCTTCCCGACGATGGGAAAAATTTACACCATAAGATAACGAGGGATTCGATTACATACCTTGGGATTCAAATCGCTACCTTGCTGCATCAGGGTGCCAATGGTGAACCAAAAGCTGTTGGCCAACGAGAATTGATTCTCGACCATTTCGGAGCCTGCGTGACAGGGATGAGGGTTGTTCCATTCGTAGGGGCTGATCCTCGCGACCACGAACATCATCACCGAGACGAGGACGTACGCGGCGAGCACATATAGCCAGATTTGAATGGCGAGAGGGTTCATGAAAGAGAACAGTCGTGCTGGGTGGCTGGTAGGTACCTGTAATTACATAATTTAATACAATTTGATTGATCAATTTTTGAAAGAGAAGAGATACATGAAAAAAAAGAATTGTGACTTAAAATTGAAATTAAAAAATTCACATAAGTTATCATTGGTCTTAAAATTAAATCTTGGAATATTTATGAATTGCAGCAGATAATATAGGAAGTTTTGGAAGATAGATAGAAGAAGTCTGATGAGATAATAACTGTTAAGTAAGATTCTTAGCAGTTCCAGATATTCTAGTCAATTTTGAATATCTGGAGAAACTTTAACAAGCTTTGATTTCCTCGTTGCTTCTTTGTTGGTTTTATTTAATAAAACGTGAAAGTCTCATCACCTCTAAAGTTTCAAATTATTTTTCTAATAATTTAATTTGCAAATTTCTTTCAAATTAATTTTCTTATCAATTTGAAATTAATATCACGAATGCTGGATTAATGGATTTCACATATAAAAAGTTTTTTTTAAAACTAGCAAATTTTCTAATCATTTAAATTATTGGATTTTGCATTAGTGATTTCAAACTTTTTGCTATTTTACACGTAGTAGTAATTTTCAGTTCTTCGATTGCATAATATATTTTAAAAATTTTTCACCCACGGAAACGAAGATAGATTACCAAGGGAATGTATATTATATTGACATTCGTACGTGACAGTACTAGTATCGATTCTCATTTGAATCCCATTGCTTTGCTATAACATTCCTGTAAATTCTGCCCAACACGCGAGTTCATTATCGATCGAATATGCAAACATTTGCGTGTTATGTGTTTAATGTTAAATATTAGCTATTATTTTGGAAAAAATGAAATTTGGTCAAATATCTGTTGACAGGATTTCAACATTCTGAAATACAATTGTAGGCTTTTGAATCAAAGGTTTGGTGTATTAAAATTATTAAAACCGTTTTCTTTCAATTTATATAGATTTATTTATTTACAAGGAATATTATTTATTTACAAGGATTATTTACAAGAAATGAACAATTGTTCTTCAAGTTTGTTTAACAATAATAATAACGAGTACTCGTCGTTAGAGTGGCTTACATTCTCTGAAAACCAAGAAGAGAAAGAAATAAGAAAGAAAAGAAGATGGACGTCACGAAGAATAAATCTTACTACTATTTCTTTTTCGTTTATTCCATGTTTGGAATTTTTCCTCCTTCTATAAATCATTCGAGTTATCACAGATTTCTTGGTTTTCCGTTGTTGGTTTCTGCTTCCTGTTTCTTTTTTCTTTGATTTTTTTTTACTTGTTTTCTTTTCTATTCAACTAGATTCTATTGAATACAAGATGAAAAATATCGATTCACAATTCTTTTTATTACATATTCAATGTTATTGATCATTCAAAAACAAGAATTTCATTGTAGTTGAAATATGAATTTTATTTGCATAATTGTCGCGCGTTGTGAAATTCCTGTGTCATATGATTTCTTCCATGTATCGAATGAAATTTATCGAGGATCCATATTCATTCATATTTCCTCTTATCTTTCATATTTGTTGACACAAAAGCTGGATAGTTTGATCAATTTTCAAGCGAGTCAAAGAGGATTATTAAATCGATCGAGAATTACTAATATCGTCATTTATTTTGTAAAGGCTCATTATTAAACTGATCGAGAATTACTAATATCATCATTTATCTTGTAAAAGCTCGTGAATAACCTATGAGCCTTTCTCTACGAACAGTTAATGATAGAGTATTGAATAATCATATTGAAATAAATAAATGCCACAAATTTATTATATAATATTTTTCGTATAAGTAATTTTGATTAAAAATAATCGAGATTTATTTATTAGAAAATTTTAAATAAGAAAATTCCAAATAAAAGATTGATCAGTAAAAGATATTGAGTAGAATAATTAATACATACTCTGAAATATAAAAAATGCAACTTCAAAATTAAAATCCAATATTTTCCAAATCTTTTTAAATCATATTTCCCTTTTTTAATGATAAAAAAGTAAGAAAAAAAACAATATTACAATTAATATTACAATATAACCAAAATAAATTAAAGCACTAAAAATCCTTTTATTAAAATTTCCCTAAAAATAATATCAATTAAAACTAATCATGATCATTTTTTCAGGTGTCACGATTGAGAATACAAGATCCACATTATCAATGATTCACATTCACATATTCGACGATCATAAGAGGATAGGAACGATAAAATAAATTATACAAAAGACCGAATACAGCCATAAAGGATAATGTTGAGAAAGAGATACGCAAGGATTAAACTTTCAACCACATTTTAAACTCTTGCATCATTGGAGTAATAAAAATGGTTGCAGTAAAATGTTATTAAGTTAATGGTGAGTGTCGAGACCAATAAAAAGATTCCGCTCGACCGCGTTGTCCCAGTTTTATTTATTTTTTTTTTTTGTTGAACAGCTTTGAAATGAATCACGAGAAATTGTGTAATGCATGGAGCAACGATACATTGTAATATCGCAATGAACGCTTTGACGATGGAATCACAGTCTATGGACCGAATACCTATATCGAATAATTAAAGAATAGCTTGGGACTAGTTAAATCGAGGCTGATTGCAATTAAACGATTGCATTACTAATAAGATATATATATATATGGTCCTACGACAAAACGTTACTTGTCCGCATCAAGATTTAAATTGCATTTATATTAAATCAATTATCAATTGGTGGATTGCAATACGAGAAAAATTGTAATGTATATTTGATATGAAGAAAATATACGATTCGAGATTAAAAATTGATTGAAAATTAATTATTTCAATAAATAATTGTATCAAAAATTTATTTATTCTTATTTTTTATCCTTTACCCCATTATAAAAATATAATTTGTTGTTATATAATAATTAATAATTAATGATATTATTTTTTATTAGATTATTTACAACAGGATTCCATTATTATCATATATTTTTGTATCATATTTTAAATAATAAAAATTCAAGAACCCTCTATTAATATATTATAAATATGAAAGAGATAACAAGTTTAACAAGTATTTTCATTGAAACTAATTACAATAGATAATAAAGAATATTTCCAGAAATAATAAATAAAGTTTTTCAGAATTTTTACAGATTAATTCCATTTTCTAGAATTATTCGTAAGCTCATGTTCGGTCTCGATAATTACGCGATTGAAGAAATTCTCGCAAAATAAGAATCAGTGTTCCGTATCAGCTCGTTTTCCACGATACGATATGAAAGAATAGTCCTCCTCCCCCTCCCTCCCTGTATTCATTACCGAGCTTTATAATTCTATAGATGTCGAATTCGACAGAGAAAATTTGCTGGCAATTAACGTGTTCGTGATATGAATTAACAAGAATAACAGCAACAACATGAGGCATAGGCCTTAACGACTTCATTCGCGTGTCGTGTTATTTACGAAAGAGTCCAATCCTGCTGCGAAATAAGGGAAAAAAAGTAACTGGGAAAGAAAACCACTTTGCTTCGAGACGTGAAAACACAAGCGCAAAATTTAAACGAGCTCCGACTGAAATATTAATTACAGCGTGGTGAATATGGAACGAGATTAATTGCAATTTGTCAATTTGTTTAGAAAATATATCTTAGATAAGTGTAATGTTGATTTTATTACTATTTAACTCCTTAAGTTTTGAGTTTGAATTAATGATGATAATATATGCTGTTTAGTTTCATTTGTGATTTTTGAAATGGATAGGAAAAGTGAAGAATGGAAAAGGAATTGATACAAATTTTATCTCGATGAAAATAGATAAAATAAATTAAATTAGGATAAATTTTATTAGTTTCATTTTTATTAGAAGAGAATAAGATTAAATTATGATTATTTAAAGCTTTTAATTTCACAATAAAATAGGAAAAGAGAGGAAAAATAATAAAAGAGAATAAAAAAAGTAGAAATTTCTTATTTTTTTGCAAACTTTACATAGATGGAGTGAGATAAATTAGAAATTAACATTTAATTTCTTTTTCATTTTCTTTTTATTTTTAATTTCCTTCATACATATATTAAATGATGTACATTTACTAATAAAAGAATTCAAAAATAAATTGTACTTAACAAATAATTTTTATTATAAATTGAATCCAACAAAATTATAATAATAAAAATTTATAATATATATATTATAATATAATATATATATTATAATATAAATAAAAATAAAAATAAGAAAAAGGAAAGGATTTTTAAAGAACTCTATTTGTCAAAGAACATAGATCATATTCATATTGTTATATTAAATGGATTTATCATTTCGTGCTCGATGATTGCACTTTGTTTGGACTCTCGCGATTTTGACGATATAATAAAAAGGGAAAAATAATGGAAGAGGGAAATGGTCGAGAATCAGAAGTGGAACTGGCACAATCCTCCTGTAAATTCGTTCGAATTGAGAAATGGCCGATTGATTTTTCCATCGATAGCCGGCAAATAAAAGGTGAAAATGTGGAGCGCAAAACGAGGTTGAAACTGAACAAGTCACGATCGTCTAGAAAATTTTATTTAGAAGCTATGACGATCGTTTGCTCTCTCTCTGTCTTCATTATTATTCTCGTTATAATTTCTGCACAAGTGTCATTTTGACATCGTTTCTGTGACAAAGTTATCACTTGTTAACATTTTTAGCATTCTTTGATCTCTAATGATTTTACAATATTCAATTCTCTAAACTTAGAAAAATTATTAAAAAAATATCTGATAATATTGTAAAATTAAAAAATAAGTATATACATAAATTTCCAATTACATTCCTTCATTACAAATTTGTATATGATAAATTTAGTCAAAGAATTACTAAAAATTTTGATTTTGTATTAGAAGAATATAATATGAAAGAAAAATATATAAATTTTTCAAGAAATTTTAAATTTAGAAGGTTACAGTTAATATTTCGACTTTATATTAAGAGAATAAAATTGAAAAGAAGATGGCACGTGAACATTTTAAGAAATTTTAAATCTAAAAGATTTTGACTAAAAACTTCGACTTTT